ATTAACATGTAATGACACATAAAGGAGTCAAATGAAGGTATTTCGCTACTAGATATGATGGGGAACCACCCTAGGGACTTGGAACTACTTGCACTAAGTGTTAGAACCTTATAGGATTGAGTAAGGAGGGTATATGGCCACCTTAAAGGTGTAGGCGGCCATGGGTGTGCGGCCCATGGGGTGTGCGGCCGTACACTCATGATGGAAGGTGTCTTCGAGGTGTTTTCAAGGTTAATACTTGCATCCATGAAGTGTTCTAGGTCCATGCTTAGTTGTGGTGCAAGTTTGAGGTCAATAAGGGCCTTGGAAGTGGGTTTGCGGCCCTAGGGTGTGTGTGCGGCCGTACATAGGGGTGTGCGGCCGTACACCCTTCATGTTTATGCTCAACAGGTCGACTTTAAGATGCAATAAGGCTAGGATCATGTCCAACTTGAAGATGGGGGGTCAAACTCTCACTTTGGAGGGTCTTTTAGGAGTGTACGGCCAACTTTATGAAGGTGTGCGGCCGTACTCCTTCAAGGGATGAAGCTCATGATGAAACTTGATGAACTAATGCTTAGTTCAAGAGGTTCTTCAAGCACAACAAGCTAAAGGATGGATTACTCACGTTTTTTTTTTTTTGAAGCTTTGGAGGGTTCGCGGTTGAAGAAGCTTGAGAGAAATGGTGTGGTGTGCTGCCAAGGAGTGAAAGGAATGAAAGGAAAGGGGTTTATCCTTTATATAAGGGTGGGTGTGCTGCCATAAGGGGGTGTGCGGCCGCACACCCATGTGTACGGCCGTACACTCCTCCTAAAGGTGTGTATGGCCCGATTTTGTCACTATGCGACTTGTTGACTCATTCCTAACCTCAATCTCGGTTGTACTCAAGCTTAGAGCGCTTAAATGAACCCTTAAACAGTGTTAGAAGACAACGGATACGGGTTTAACATTGGTTGAGTTGACTAGGTATACAAGATGGCAGTTCCGGGTTGTCATAAGATCACTTTTGGTCAACAAAGTAATCTCATTACACTTAAATCACATTAGTGAAACAAATCACCAACAATACATTAAGGAAAGCATATGGAGTCGCACATACTAAATCAAAACGCAAAAAAATCCATTCGTGCAAACCCTTGGAACGGCTACATATACGGACGGTTGTCTTCCAAAAGGTTCTTGATGCTTTTCTTCAAATCATGTATCAGCTATGTTATCTTTTTTCTACATGGTGTGAATAGTTTCTATCATTTTCGCCGCCTCATGGTTGGTGTCGAACAAGATTTTGTCTATCTGCAGATAGTTGTTGTACTTGGGACTGCTATCCATTTCACCCTAAATCCTCATTAAATCTGGATTATCATGACTTGCTTCCAAAGCAACTAATGACGACCCAACCCTAATAAAACTCTAATCTCGTTTAATATACGAACGACTCTTCCTTCCCAGAAGGGGGTTACGAATTTTAGCTCTCGTTTTCATCAAACTCTCACAGAATATCTCTAGCAAATTGGCTTACGATTTATGTGCCTAGAATCGTAAGAGTCCACTTGGATTATCCTAGGCTGAATTTCTTACAACTCAGTCATAGGGTAGAAATATCAGTTCGGAAAGTGTTCTCACGATCTAAGTTGGTATCCAGATCTTCACCACGAACCCTATATTTCCTTACAACTGATAGAACGTATC